TTCCTCTCTCTCATCCATTCACTAATGTACACTGGCTGTGTGCATGCATTTAAGCATCTAAACTCACAACTCCCTTCCTCTTCCTCTCTATCTCTTTCCCTTTCACTCTCTCTCTCTCTCTCTCTCTCTCTCATCCATTCACTGAACGGGACAGTACCTTCTCTCCGCTAGATAGAGTGTTTTCTTAGAGGGTATCCTGAAGAGAAACTTAATTCTATTTGCTCCTCCGAGCATGAAGTTAGAAGGCCGAAACCCCATCCAACCTATATACTGCATCTACTAAATGGGGATGACGTGGTCCATAGTATTTAGCTCCATGTCATGTATTGTCTGTATACGTTCAGGTGTTATGTACAAAGGGCATTAGCACAACACAAGTCGGTTTCAATGTTTCCTGTTTACATTCTGCCATAATGTACTGTACATGCAGGCCACATTTTACATAAAGGTTTATTGGGGAAAAAGGCCTGACAGGAAGATAGGACATTAATGTATTGTATTTGGAGTCAGAAGGTGTGTTAACTCTTTGTAAAATGATAGCTAACATCCCTCTAGCTTTTCACACATAGTGAGTGTGCATGTACAAGACTTGAATTGAAATTAAAATTGACTTCAAGAAGAAATTGAAAAGGTACTAGCTAGTTAGGTCAATGTTTTATCTCTGGTAGAGGGGTCGGAGTAACCATAATTTAGGTTAATAGGAACAAAAGTGATAAGAATCTTGACAACATTTTCATTCCTGTGAATGATGTAGATCTGTTTCATTTCAGTTTCTCATGAGTTAAAAAGTAACAATGAATCAGGTCTGCATGATTGTTGGGAAAATATCATGGGAATATACATTACTTCAATATTTGCTCAGTCTTTTCTTGCATTAAATTTTTGTCAAAGATAAAGATCTTGGGAAGAGAATTATTTGGGTAACTGCATAGAACTGATGGGAAAATAAGACTTTTGAACATATTTTCATCCATGACTGGTCATGCATCTAATTTAGTATTCTCTGTTGTCAAAATTAAGCCCCTAGTAATAAAACAAATTCACATGAATTCAAATTTATGAAAATGGCGAAATGATACGATTGTTGATTTTCATCAACACATACAAGAATGGTTAGTCACTCATCTAATTTTGTCTTTGCTTTTTAAATTGCCTTAAAACTTTAATCAACTTCTTTTGCTTTGAACTTAATTTATTTTTTCTGTTTATAATTGATATTTGAATGTCATTTTGTTAACATTGAAAGTATACAATCAGTGTATGTAAACTTTACACACATTATACAGAGCTAATATTTTAGCTAACTTTCCATTTTACTAGGAAAACATAATTGTTATTAAAAAAATATGACAGAATAATTCATTATTGAAGGTGAATACCATTGAGGTGGAAATGAAACAAAATCTATATGTAACCATCTCTACCAACACAAAATTGTGTTTTTTAAATGTAAACATTGAAGTCGAAGCTATTCTAAGGCACTTGTTGCTATTTAAAATTCCCTTCCTAACAGAAGTGTTACTTCCCAAACATAGAAACCAATGCATCTCTCAATCAAGTTGTTTTGACATACTCGATTTGTATTGACAGAGCAGAGATTTGCTCAATTTTCTATTTCTCGGTATAGAATCTCCAAAAGTGTAAGAAAAACTGTGAATGGATTTAATGCTCCAGTGATTTTATTCTATCAGTTGGTTGATAAAGCTAAATTGTACACTTTGTGGATTCATTCACGACTGTTCGGGGGTTACTAAAGGTCATTGCAGAAACAGTATACTGTATAGGGTGGGAAGATTTTGTTCAGAAACAATGTTGATTGAAATTCCCCTCTAAAAATAAATACTGATTGAATTGTAGAAAAAGCATTGTAACATTATGAGTTTGCTTTCTGTTATATTCACACGGTATTAACGTTATTTTATTCTTTTCAGAATGGGTATTTATCAGTCTTTTACATTCCTGTTTGCCCAGTGCCTACCCAAAGACAAAGCATGTAAAAGAAATACTGATTTCAGATTAAGAGAGAGAGGGGAAGAGATACAGGGTGAGGGAGAGATAAAGGAGGAGACAGAAAAGGATGGGGAGAGATGGAGATAGAATGTGCAAGAGAGAGGGAGAGTGGGAGAGTGAGAGATAAAAAATGACTAAAATGAAAAAATGAAAACAGAGAGAGAGAGAGAGATAAATAAAGGGGGAGACAGAGAGAGATATAGAGGAAAGAAAAGCAGAAGGGAAGAGAAAGAAGAGAGAGGGGAGAAAAAGAAGATAGAGATATTGGAGACTTGAGATATTATTATTGAGGTAGGGAAAAAACCTCTCAAAAGACGTCCATCGTTAACCAAGGCAAGCGGTCGGAACTTAATGAATGTTAATTGTTTGCAATAGGAGACTACGGCAGCCATTTAATTAAAGAGCCCTAGCCTCGTATCCCCTTCCCCCATTCATAAATGCCTCATACTAGCTCCGCGCAGTCCCACATGGAGTCTTTTCAGCTGGGTTTTTACATTGTGATCTGCAGGGCAGGTGCATGTGTATTATCTCTTGGACAATAGAAGTGTCTGGCTACGGGGATGCCCATTCAAACGACGTAGCAGGGTTTCTTTACTTAACTTCCTATACGGCTTATTGCAACGTACAAGAGAGAGAATTTAATCTTGTTATCCCTACCCTACTGCATTAAATGAGGCTTATTTCAGTCATGATGATGGTCACTTCAATAGAAAAATAGCAAAGGAAAAATTGCAGTCACAATAGCAAAATTTCACCATTTCGCATATAAACTGAAATTGCCATCATACATGTGTATTTCTGCCAAGGCCGCATTAATAGGAATGGATATATTTACTGAGATGAGAAATAGCTAAAACCCTTTGAAATTCCTATTCAGGCTTAAGAAATGTATGCCAATATTTTGAAAGGGAATATCACTTCAAATAACTTACTTATAGTTACATTAATTAAAATTGATAATGAAAAATGATATCATTTTGTAAGAGTTAAGTATTGTCCTCTGCAGGTTTGTAAAAATGTGATGTATTTTAGCATAAATTCCAGAAATTCGGATACTGTTTAAAAATTGTTCAAATGTGATGTACTGCCTTATAAATGAAGCCCAAATTGTTTCATTTTTCTGTTCAGTCTTACTAATCATTGTATACTATGACAATAATACTTCCTATTTCACTGTAATACTGATTACATTAGTGTAAGTGCTACCCAAATGATTCATTCTTCATTTCCCGAAATTACTTCAAACAATCCATAGAAATGTATTTATAAGCAATTGTTACTCGTGATTGTTCTTGTGGCACGCGATCCCAAGCACTATCAATTAAAATGACTACTATCCTTGCAGAGCTCGAAATAGAATTTTCATACAGGAATTCTCTACCTCCCCTACCAAAATATCAAAACGTATCAATGATGTTACATTGTCTGTCAGCTAACAATTTCAATTACTGCTGGCGTTGTTCTTTGTTTCTTGCATTAAATTTTAAATCCTCACTTACAAAAAGGCTATTGTGAGCTCAAGTCCTAAAAAAGATCATTAATTATGGACTACAACCTTCCCCCCCCCCCCATAACCACCACGACCACAAAACACAAAACACAAAAGCTTGAATGCACGACCGAGCAATTACTCCTTTTTTAATAGTCAATTGAATAGAGTCTTGTAAAGGAGGATATCGTTTAGCATGCATGATTGCATGTCGTGTAATAGCTCATAATTATGACAAGGCTTCATTTTGCTCAATATTTAGTAATTGGTGGCCGTGTAAACGGAAACATCGGGGAAGACAACCTTAAATGATTGATATTTTGATTGTTTTGTTAATTGAAAAGGGTCAATTAAACATTTATTGATTATGAATAATTAATCAATCACTGTGGGATGTGTATATCAATAATTTATCGCCTGTTAAAATGGATATAACAATGATATAATCAATTTTCCCTCTCGATCTATCCATCTCCCCATGCCGTAGCCCTCTCCCACTACTAAAAATGGTATTGTTGTCTTAAATATGATTCTCTTTCCTCTCTGATTCTTTTTCTCTCTCTCTCTCTCTCTCTCTCTCTTTCTTCCTCCCTCCCTCTCTCTCTCTCTCTCTCTCTCTCTTTCCTCATCTCTCCCTCTCCTCATCTCTCTCCTTATCTCTCTCTTCATCTCTCCCTCCATTTCTCTCCTAACTCACACACAACAATCAAAAGGAATATTTATATGTTACATTCATTTAACAAAGATAAACCCAAATAAGGGGCTGTATACAACTACAGTATACACAAACCAATATTTTTCCTACAATAGTATAACTTTCAAGCTTGAAAAAGTAATTAAAGAATCACGATGGCATTGACAATTTCAGGCATTTGGATTGGTGAAAGCTATTTTTAAAATGGAAGAGAGAAAATCAAATAAACAAGATAGCAACAAATAAAAAATAATATGTTAGTTAAGCCATGCAATATATTAAAGCAGCCTTATTGTGTTAGTAAACCTCGCGTACCACTACATAAATGTTATTTAACCAATGACCCCATATGTACAAGCCTGTACCAAATGATGCAAATTATGGTGGTTAATAATAACTATGCTGTATGGTAGTGATAAATGATAATATAATGATGTTTAATGAAACAATTATTCTGTTAAGAACTAGAAAGGCATTGAATTGTGGTTAAACACCCTTCTAGTGTTCAATTTAATGAATTTCAAGGATATTTCATTTCATTTTTGAAAACTGAATGAATTGAGCATGCTGATGGGTGATATATAGATGGTCCATGAATTGCCTGCGAGAAGGGCGTAAGTGCGATGCATTCACGCAAGGTACCAGGTCAAAGGTCGTAACAGCATAGGTGATGGCTGCGATTGTGCAGAAACGAAGGCTGAACGAACGTCCTTTCACCTGGTAACTTGGGGAGGATTGCAGAGAACTTACGCCCTTCCGCCGGCGACTGGAGGATGATGATGAAGTATTGCTAGATTTGGTACTCACACTTAATGGTCTGAGCTATTTGAGATCCGGCCATAGACGAGCCTACAGGTGTGGGGGGAGAACAATAGCGAAATGAGCAATTTTTGAGCTTTTTTAACAAGGAAATATTCTAGAAAAACATAAAGTCACTGTGTATGTTCGATTGATGATGCCATGCAAAAGTAAATTGATGAGCCTATAATGATGGGAAAAGAATACATTGAATGAGAAAAAAACATGCTTCTAAAAGGGAACACAGTCAAACCTGTTTGAGCACCCACCTGTATAGAAAAACCACCTGTCTATAAAGACCACCGTTTTTCTTACTGATTTGCATGCCTCTGTTCATTTCTCAGGTTGTACACTGTATTCCAATTGATTATGGCATGAATAAACTACATCTTTCATAAATACAGTTGATATATCCCTTTAAGGGAGACCAGAAGAGTAATAGACGTGGAGGACCGAGGTCCATCACATTTCTGGAGCTTAGCTCGGTTGCTAGCGATACTCATCCCATAATCATTAGGCCTGTCTTCATCTTCTTAAGATTGCCAAATAGCCCGCTATTTCTGATTCGTGAGAAATTAGTCCGATCACGAAATAGCGGGCTATTTGGCAGGTGAAGACACAAATAGCAGGCTATTTGCGCAGGAAATCATCCAAAGATATCTTGGGCTAGTTAGCAAAATAGCCCACTATTTGTCTGGTCTGTCTTCACCAGCCCGAAGACTCACACTATGCGCGAACATTGAGCAAAATATCTCGAGCTCGAGTTTTGAGCTGGTGAAGACGCGATTTTTAACGAATCAGAAATAGCGGGCTATTTGGCAAACTCGAGCTGATGAAGACAGGCCTTATTCCCCATCTCAACCTGTGGAGGGTTTAAATATGGCGACTCAATCGGCACCAGGCCATCAGATGCGTTCCTACCTCCTTACCATAGTGCATAGGCCAATTAGCTTAATTAGAGAATTGAGCAGTTTCACCTAAATTCTGGAACGCAAGAGTCTACATTGTAATTCGGATGTGGAACAGGTATTAAGTTGAACTTTTCACTATTTTAACCCACTGCATACAGTAACAGGGTGGTCCCTGTGTTAAACCTATGGGAATGAGTGAAATCAGTAGTGAATGGCTTAATATTGCTTGTCTAAAGTCTCTCACCCATTTACATAAGTACAAGGCACATGTTTGTCATGATTCATTTACTCATACACACATACATTTCTTTTAATGAAATTCAAAATTAAAAGTTCAATAATTGTAAGGTATATTCTAGTGTATAGCTATATCGTAATTCAATATTGTAATAAGTAATGCTTAAATGAAATGCAACCAAGAGCTAGGAAAACTTTCCTCAAAAGAACAGAACTTAGTTTAAAATGTTTATACTAATCAGATGAGAAATACTGACAAACAGGTATAAGTGTGGACTTGTTGGAAATACATAGCTATAGACTGGACATTAGCATAATATCAAGTTTAATATCAATGTACTTTAAACTTCCAGGCTAATATCCAAATTCCTTAAAAGTGCATTGTAATCTTCAACTAAAAATGTAGTGTTCATTAAGTTGAAATAGATCTTGTATGGTTTGAGAGAAGATGAAACATTAGGAGACTATGATTAAGAAATGCTCCAGCATGCATCTGGTTGGGAATGCGTTTAAAGGTAGAATGTACATAAATGATAATAATTGGGGTCATGCTTCGACTGGGGAGGTAAACAGAGAGTCGCTAAACACAGACCGCCCAAAATTAGCGTGTGTGGTGGTTCCCCATGCACTGCATACAGAAACGTGTGGACGAAAGGACGCGGGCAGAATTTGCGACGAGCAAACTCTCGAAGGATGCCGGCAGTATGGGGTATTGCTTGCTGAGCGTAGTCTGTACCAACAGGCCCTTTTTAATCGAATACAGTACATCATGTGGCGATATGTCAGGCAAATCTCTTATGAAGCAAAATTCTACAAGGATGCCAGCAGTATGGCATATTTCTAGCCGAGTGTAGTCTATAAGTACAGACCTGTTTTTATTTCATCTCAAAAAGTCAGAATGCAGAATAGTATTTGGTGATATATCAGGCAAATGTTTTCTAAGTAAATTCTCATAGGATGTTCACACTATGGCGTATTGCTTGCCAAGGGTAATCTATATTCAGTGACCTTTTTAATAACATCTCAAAAGTCAGAAGGCATTATATAATTTGGTGATATGTCAGGTAAGCTTATAAAGCAAGCTCTCAGAGGGCATGTAGTTTGTCATGACCACTAAGAAACGACAAACTACTTTAATCACTTCTCTAAAGTGAGAAAGCACTGGTTTATGTGGTGACGTTTAGCAAGCACTAAAAGAGTACCGTATTATCATACATGATACAACACTGTAGAGATCTTTTGAAAGACGACTGGGGAAACACAAACCATTTCCTTTATTCCAGTTTGAGAATATCATCTAAAAAACTGCACAATCTCAATGTCAAGGGCACTTCTGTCAACTGTTTATGGCAAAACCTTGAAAACCTTCTTTAAAAAGGTCTAATCGATTAGACTACATAGGCAGGGTCTAGGGATAAAGCATATTTGCTCCCATTTTTTGGCCTTATGGTGAGAAAGGTACCAAGATAGAAATAGTAGGTAAATGAATTGATTTCCCGGCGCCCACCAACTTAAAGGAAGCGTTTCTCCAACAAAATGCGTTTCAGAGGCAATAATCATATTTAATGGCAGGTTTTAAAAGCCATTTCCTTCACTTTGTTTTCCTGTGTTTCTTTACAAGAGGCATCTTGTGTTTTAGTTTCTTTTACAATGTTCAACTCAAACTGAAGTAAAGTGTTGTTTTACCATTATTTTGAAATACTTTCCTCAATTTCTAAGGTGTGATTTAAAGCCAATTTACACCATCTCTCTCTCTCTCCCTCTCTATCTCTGTCTATCTCTCTCATTTGCTATTTCAAAATTTTACATTTCATTCATAGCTCATTTTGCTCTCTTCTCCCCATGCCCTCCTCCTCTCTCTCTCTCTCTCTTTCTCTCTCTCTCTTCTCTAACTTAATCATCCCCCTCTCCATCCTCTCTACCAATCATCCTTCTCCCTACCCCCTCCCTCCCCACCACCACCTCCCCCCATTCTCCAGTCCGCCCGCCCATGCATAGCTGCCAACTCAGCTAGAAAATGTACACCCAGGACGCATCGCAGTTTACGCTCACTGGCCCATGCAAACCAAATTCCACGGCAGCCATCGCGCTGGAGAAAGGAGCAAAAGTACCAAACCATCAACCATCGCAGAGGCCATTTTTTCCCCTTGTCTTCGAATCAGCGTGGCCGCGTGGCTAGCGACGTTAATTATAGGCCTGGTTTTCTAAAATGCAACATATTACATGGTTAGCTGTGCATGTAATGTCGCTTATCGTTGCGAGTGGAAAGAATTTGATTTTTTTTTGGTGTTATGAGGATAAAAAGAGCAAAATAGGACCACTTTTATTTGATGGAAAGAATTGAAATAAAGATGTTGTTTCCCCAAGATCATATTCTGCCTATTTATTTTCTTATTCTAAGAAAACACATGACTTTCAAGATTAACTATTAACAATGAATATGGAGTATTAATCATAGTTGCATCATATAATCCAAAATAATAATGTATCATCTTTGATAATCCTTTTCTAGAATTGTTTATTATACTGATCTGGCGTAACTGATCACTTTTCACATTTCTATTGACTTATATTTAAGAAGTCAGTACGAGTTGCTACATTAAGGCAGGGATCCTCATCTGAATTACTTTTATAATCCTACATTGTATCTACATGATTGTACAGAGCCAGATATCATGTGGTCCTTTTTCTATTACGTTTCATATTTTCTTCTCCCTAGAGAAAGAAATGTCTTTTGTATAACCTGTCTAGAAAGGCTACCTGGCTACAGTGGCCACTTTTTCTGTTTCCCTTGGGTGACCTTAATAGACAGGTTCGACTGTATAATAAATCAGGTCTAGACATAAAATAAGTCATAAGGAATAAGCCCACATTTATTGTTCAAGCTTCTAAACAGAAGCTACATGTAAATAGCTGTAGGGCTAAAGCTTACATAATGCACCATGTACTAAGGAGACGCTATGTAATTCATAAAACCAAAGATTGAAATAATAATCATGCCATGATATGCATAATTTCTCAAATGAATAATCCTACCATCTGCAACCAAAGTAAAAACAAACCTGTCCACCATCTAACAAGGTTATCATCTCGTGGTCAAAAATTTGTGGTTTTAGCTACAATATCCCCTCCTAAATCTCATTAAATTTTACGAAGCCCCCTCTCGGTCCCTGACAGGCCAGGCTCTTTAATTGAATCAGTTTGGTCTAAATTTGAAATGAAAACAAACTGCTATCTTATACAGATGTTGACACAGGATAATCATCCCTACATATACCTTATGTTGTTATGAAGGTATACATATAGTCCTACGGGCAGACTGTGAGTGTGGGTAAGGTATACCTATCACAAACTACCATAATATTGGTTAAGAATAGCAGTATGTAGAGCTAAGTTTGTGATTTCATCTTCTTTTTCCTATTATTATGAATAAGTACTAAATGATAAAAGTTCATTTTAAAAGTGCACAAGAAATGTAACACTATCCCTTTAAATGTAATTATTTCTTGTACAGTTCTATTAAGATAAGCATGTTAAAGTTTTATTTTTCCTAAGATTATGGCAAGAAAAATTTTAATCTAGAGTAATATGTTCTAGTTTTACATATTATGAGCCTATACCAATAATCTAACACTTTTAACAAATGTAAAGCTATATTTGATTCAGGCTAATACAGTGAAATCTATGAATAAAGACCGCTCAGGGGAGACAACAAATGCAGTCTTTATGAGCAGGCGATCTTTATGTACAGGTTCCTTTAGTACATGTTTCAGTTCAAGGAAAACACAGATTGTGTTCTTCATAGACAGGTGGTCTTTCTATACAGGTGGTTGCTAAACACGTTTGACTATACAGAAGTTGATATAGCCAACAATGATAGTATCCTGACTGAATTTATAAACT